ACATTTTTAACACACACAAATTTTTTTTTCTGACATTCAAATTTGGTTTCTCTATCTTCATGGAGCAGCCTTCAGACAAATTCATATTTTCAATATATATATATATATATATATATTGTTCCTATGTAGAAACTGACATCTTTACTAATTTATGTAACAATCAGTAACTTTCCTGTATTGGTTCAACTGATTATCATTTGATTACGAACAAAACGTAAAAAAACATTACCTTAACACCACAGGCATCTGAATATTCCAATCCAAAATAATCCACTTCGAGTAAGTTCAGCATCTTGCAGACTTGTTCAAACAAAACCTTCCCTAATGCTTTGTACTGAAATAAAAAACACGACACTTACAAATATTTATATATATATGTGTGTGTGTAAGCCTAATTCATTGTGTATGTTAACATACAAATCAAGAGTAAATTTCTAAAATACAAAATGTATATCAGTGCTAATATCTTGAAACAAAAAACAGAAACGTTTATTATTGAAAAATGGAAAAAAATTAAAGTAATTGAACATTGTTTTTAATCACTGAATAACTGTTTCTTTACCAAAAATAAACATTAAATTTAAGTAGAAACATTACCCAAGAAAATTTAATAAAGCAATACTGTATTTGTGAACACCTTCATTTGAATTTTTACTTTTAAAATATTGACATTGCTTCTTGTTTTTCACTAATGAGCTTTGATTTGTGACTCATCCTTTCTTTATAATGTTAAATCAAAAATATTTTGAAAAATATTGTGGTATTCCACTTAATAAACCAGCAACTTTTAAAGACGAAGCTGCATTTCCAAAAAATGCTGAGTAGAAATACTTAAAATTCATGATATTTAAAGAAACTAGACAGATCACATCACAAGTAACCCAAATGACCCGAGTTCTTTGGGAAAATTAACTTTCCTTCTCTAAAGAATAATTGAAGACCAAAGATCCACTTTCTAAAAATGCTAGTTATTAGATTTTGTAAGGAGAAACTGATTATTTTAAATAAAATTTAAAGCATAAATAGACTTACAATTTTATTTATATAACCTTTGTTTTTAAACTAAAACAAATAAATTTACCACAACAAAACTGTAAAGTAATCAGTTTTTATTACACTTAAGATATAAAGAAAACCTTGGAATATCCCCCAAACTTCCCTCAAATGAATTAGTAACTTCATAGAAAACATTTAGACTCATTATCAGTAGAAGCTAAACAGGCTCAAATATAACATTCAGATGTAGGGTTTTATCAGTATTTTCAATTCATCCAAAACTTATGTTTAATATAATATATACTGCTAAACTACAGTATGAACATGCTCTATATTTTAAGTTAGTTTCATTCAAGTTATTGGTTATAATAAGTAAAATAATTATTATTATTATTAATCTTTACACTTACGAAGGTTATTTTACTTTATTATTGGCTTAGAATATGAATTTAGAGACTTAATCTCCTAAGCTGGCCACACATCATAAAATGTTATGGTGTTTATGGTTGAAAATATTTCTCTCGTGAAATATTATTGTTTTTATGTTGAAGATATTATTTACTGCGAGGGTACCCAAATAATGAATCAATGCAATCTAATCATTATAGGTTTTAGTTTTCTTATGTATCAGCTTATGACATTATTTACTTCGAGCAAGTTTGTTATATAAAATTAGCTTCATTAACTTTCAAATTACCTTTGAATTCTGACTTATAGGAGTTGGCTTTTTTTTTAATTAGAAGTTATTGATAATTCAAGCTTATTATCATATCATACCTGCACATATCATAACAATGGAACCCAGTCAGTATTAGACTCTTTAAACGAGGGAAATAAGTTGGGAATTAAGTGAAGGCTGTGAACAGAGAACAACATTGATGGGTATCAAGAATTCACTTTTTGTGTCATAACAATAATTTTTTCTTGCTTTATGTCTATGAAGATGAGGATTCAAATTACAAATATCTGATTTCTCATTGTTACTTTATCAGCACACATATCTGGTTCAACAAACTGTATAGGGTACAACTTTAATCCTATGTTTGCTGGTGGGGTTCAAAGTACACATGCCATGACCTTCTACAGAGTGTAATTCAACATTTATGTATTTGATGTCAGAGTTATCAACCAGTAACTGTTCATCAACAACAATTTAGTCTCTGTTTGTGCTAATCCCACGTGCAATGTGTGTTTTCTTTGTTCTGAGTTTAATTGCCAAGACTTACACACAAATACCAGTTAACTTCATTTTATTCTACATTGCCGATTTAGTGACAATTTGTGGTAGAGGAGTGTAAGTACCAGATGTAAGATACAGAGATACTGAAAAAATTGTAGATATGAATTTCAGAGGTTCTAAAGTTTATGAAAATTCAATAAGCAAACTGTACAATGGACACAAGTATCTTCATGCTTCACAAGGAAATCACCTTGCAAAGCAACTTGTCAAAGTCACACTGATGTCAACAATTCATAGACATAGCCTGACTATATACATATACTTTTGTAATATATCAAATTTGTACAAATATGAAAAGCTTGCCACATTTTGTGTAAATACACATAGTAAATTCAGAATCATAATCAACATTCTTTCCCCAATATAGGGTCAGTTCAATGTACTGACTCCGTGCACATTCAGTTAAACTCTATACCATTTTTAATCACCTTGATAACTGTTTGAGAACCCAGCTACATGCATATCTCAAATAACTGTCTCTGAAAACAAAAACTACAGCCTGATGATAAACAAAAAATGGCAGATACTCATTTCAGTATAATCAAACCAAAACTTTTAAAGATAATATCTATTATACAAATAACTGTCTCTGAAAACATAAGTTTGAAATATTCAAAAGTGAAAACTAAATAAGTATCTGTTTACATAATATTAAAGCACATTAAAACAACAAAAACTACAGCCTGATGATAAACAAAAAATGGCAGATACTCATTTCAGTATAATCAAACCAAAACTTTTATAGATAATATCTATTATACAAATAACTGCTTTCAGTTTCGTTCTAAGGTTAATCTTAATTACAATTTCATTTATCACTCAAGTTAAAACGATGTCTAATGTACAACCAAGTGCACACATGAATTTTCTTGAATGTTCAATGCAAGAAGAATGTTACAGAACTACATACAAGTATTGTGATATAAAAAAAGAATTAGGATATTAGAAGATAACCCAAATTATTTACTGAATTTATTGTCAGGGAAACAGAAATATAAACATGATTATATTAGCGTATACACATGTATGTGTGTGGGTAACTACATACACACACACACACAGAGTGAGAGAAACACAGTGTATGTACATGCAAGTTACAAATGAATAAAAACTGTTTTTTTTTTATCCCACTATAATAATATTTAAAACTTGAAAAATGCAGTTTAATTCCATGATTTCACTATTTACTGTTGATCATCAGGATCACTGGAAAGAAAATTTCAGAGGAATTGTTTTACTTATCATTTCATTTGCTCTGCCTGTACATCTTATGTTCCCTAATTTGTTTTGCTTTATTGGCAGTAACAACCTATTCACAACTGTATGCAGACAATAAAGGGTGGTATAAATGTGGTAGTCATGGGCTACAGAACCCACTTATGATTCTTGTAATTAAGATTTGTTTTCCTTTATTAATGTAGATGTAGTAACATGTGGTTGAGTATAGAGGTTAAATCTGGCAGACTGGTTATTTAAACTACTATGCGGATCCTGGACTCTTTCTGCAGAGACCTCTGTAAAGTACAGAATGTATCTGTACTTCTGAGATTACAGATGTACTGTAGTTGTTATCTTTATTTTATTTATCTTTCACATATTTTACAGTCTCGACTTCCTTTTTCTTTGATTTCTACATTTATATTAATGACATAATGATTTTGGTTTGCTAATCTATTTTATCTTCAATAATGTTAAAACAAACTTGGTTACTTTTTTTTACTTGTTTCAAATTTGTTATATATATATATATATATATATAGTTTTTAGCAAGATGAAAAACTGGCATTTTTTTGTGATATTTAAATCCTTTTACTCTTATTACCTTGTCAGTTCTTTTTTTTTGTTCATATGAGGCATGTTTTAACACTATTCATTGTCAAAAATTAAATTAACTCGTATAAGTAAGTTGTCCATTACAACTGCATCTTGTACAACAAACAGAAATTACAGCTTGCTCTATGTTACACACTAATGTACATTCTAGTGAAAAATAACAAAATCCTAGTACAGTAATGACTTACGTACTTTTTATAATAAGCTTCAGAAAAACATGTACTTTAGAACTTTCATGTTGTAAAGCTAAATACTTAACAAATAAAAAAAGTATATATAGACACAAACACTGAACTGTGTGGTTACAAAATTACTACATCATCATCAACAAATACACACATTCTAGGTCTTTTTTTCTGTATTGTAATTTTAAAAAACTATCTTTACGGTAAAACAGCCTTACAGCGTATTTATAAGGCCTTAAATGCATCTGAGAACAGAATTTTCACTAGATAATGCTTTTCCACAATAAAAAAAACTATGGTACTTGGAGATTTGAGTATGCAAAAATGAATAATTACGGTTAATACAGTTTAATAACTTAAAAATTAAATATAACTTTCAAAACTTACAAAGAATATCAATGATATTTTAAACCCCTTTCACTCATCACAACCCTACTAATATAAGCACCTCCAGTACATTTCAATACGTGGGTTTCTTTTCATTACATAGTGGTGATTTACACTCAAGTGTAGTTATAGCTAAAGCAATTGGTAGTGAATAAAGCTATTGGTTGGACTTGTCGTGCTTACAGAAAAAAATAACATACAACCTGCCCCCATACGATCTAGCTACTTCCTGACACCTTTCAAGGTTTAAAACAACCCTATGGTATTCAGACTAACTTATAATAATGTTCTATATTGTTAGTTTCTTACAACAAACATATCACTGTAAATACTGGTACTGCTTTAATATGAAAACATAACAAGTACAGTATCAAAAAAAATATTAAATCTTTACCAGTCTGCTAATGTCAGTTCTTTTGATTAACTATAATATATCATGCTACAACTATCAACTTGTTTTTGAAATGTTGAATCTCCACAAGTGTTGCTCACATTCGAAATATGAACAAGAAACAATTTAACATGTAAACATCTGTCGTGTACATGTAAGTGGTATGTGTGCAAGAAAAACACACCAAAAAGTATAACATAAAGGTCAAGAAAAAAATCTAGAAGTATAGCATTAAGGTCATTGACATAGTAATGGTTGTACTGAACTTCAAACAGCTGAACTTTCACCTTTCAGGCTTGCAT